TCGTACATAAATGTGTTTGCATATCAATATTATCCCAGAACCATCTTTAATTAAAATAAATAATTCTGTAAGAATCTAATCTTGCAATTTAGAAGACCTTCCAATCAATTAACCAATCAATCAACCAACCAATTAATCAATCAACCAACCAACCAATTAATCAATCAACCATTCAATCAATCAACCAAACAATTAATCAATCAACCATTCAATCAATCAATAGATCATTTCTAATCCCAACCCTAACCCTCAACCAATCGCCAATCAGCCACCCCAGCACTTCTTGACCAATCACAGACCCTCGTAATCAATGGCTCCGTCTCCATTGATGTCAGCCTCCTTCATCATCTCATCCACTTCCGTTTCCGTCAATTTCTCCCCGCAACTCATCATGATGGCCTTGAATTCGTCAGCGTGAATCAGCCCACTACCATCCCGGTCGAAAATTTTAAACGCCTCGCGAATGTCGGCATTTAGATCGACCTCGACAAACTTTCGCGCCATTAATCTGATGAATTCCATAAAATCCACCGTCCCGTTTCCTGGATGGTTGGTTGGTTGTGATTGGTTTGTTGGTTGGTTGGTCGGTTGGCTGGTTGTTTGGATGGTTGGTTGGTTAGTTGGTTGGTTGGTCGGTCGGTTGGTTTGTTGATTGGTTGGTTGGTTGGTTGGTTGTTTGGATGGTTGATTGGTTTGTTGGTTGGTTTGTTGGCAACAATAACAACAATAATAAAATCAATTCTACTGATAATATTAATAGCAAACATAAAATTAAGAGTATTTAGAGATAAAACCATCAATTAAGCGTAAGACTTATCGTCGCAATCCTTGATTAATGTACAATGGTGGTAGATTTAATTAAAAGTGTACACACACACACACGCACACAAACACATACACACACACTAACACACACACACATATGTACGTAAATACATACATACATACACAGATAACACATTTTCATACATATATAAGTGAAAACTGATTGATCGATTTCATTGAAAAGTTATACACATACCCACACACACATACATACACACACACAAACACACATACCATACAAACACACCAATATACCAAGCAGAAATGATGGATTGAAGCTTATTTCGGCGATATAACGCGATGACATTTTTCAAAAACTTGACACGACACTGGACACATATTGAAAATGAAATGAACCAAAATTTGGATGGACATATTTTAGAGTGGCCACATTGTGAACAAATGCTGTTTGTTTGTCCTTTCGTTTGTTTGCTCGTTCGTTTGTTTGTTCGTTCGTT